GGAGCGTTGGTGGGCCCCTGTTTGGGTTCAGCAGGGCGGGTTAAAGCACTGTGTAAAATCTCGGGGAGCAAGTGCGGTGTCTCCAGCCTGAAGGAAGTTTCTGTATTTCTCGGCTTGGAAAGTTTTGTGGAAAATCCTTCAGTGTCACCTCAGACAATGGAAGTGTAAAGGAAAAATCTGTTCACGGGCAATGAGGAGTTTGGAGCTGTGTGGTTGCTGCGGCCGTGCTTCTCCTCAGTTATTTTTATTTGAAAGCTTGCCAAAAATTTCTCAAATGTACATCATGGCAAGCATAAAGAATTGGTGGTTTTCAGGTCTTTCATGATCAGCCTCCTGCTGTTTGGCTACTCAGCTAATGCTTCTCGGGGCTCTTGGACTCAGTCAGTGGCTCTATTCTTGGCTAGTTGGGATTTTGTACAAAGTTACTTAATGTTTCTGTTAATAAAAGTTAGCTAACCGTTCCTTAACGTGCCTTCTGTAAGCCTGGTACCTGTATGACCCAGACGCAGTGGCGGACAATGAGGAACAGCTATGGAGCCATTACCTCCTACTGTGCATTGCCAAAGTGCGGTCACAGTTTCCCAGCTATCTGCAACCTTCATGACTTGTTACAACAGGGCTCTTCTCCTCCTTCCCGAACGCACAGCAGCAAATAATACAGCGAAACCGCAGGATTCCAGCAGACAAATATTCTTCCCCTCCCAGAAGTGCCTCCTGATGAGTCGTCTTGGAACTGTCCCTCATCCATGAAGCCACTGAAATATTTATTAGGCAACTTAAACAGAAGCAGTATACAAATGATACTCGACTCTGTCTGCTTGACAGGATATATAAGTAGGATTATCTGTTTATAATGCGTAAGGAAAATCAGTGTCAGAGGAAGGACATCTGGCGAAAGCTGAACCCAAATAATGCCATTGCTCTGTGTGTGGAAGGAGTGCTTGCACATGTAGAACTTGCTTCCTTCATAATGCCAGACTCTTTGAAGATACTGTCATGTTTGTATTACTTGGCTCCTTCTGAACTGCTTCTGGAGTCCCAAATATCCGTGCTGGAGAAATAAATTACTGATGTATACAGCAGCGGACTCTGAGATAAGACAGCTTTAGCACAAAGCTTCCCACCATGAAAACACTGAGACTGCTATAGGCTATTGATACAGCAATGCATATCGCTATGAATACATCATCTTTTTGTATTGTTTCCAAATTATGCTGTAAATCAGAGATATAAATAATTTTGACAACTGCTGGTATTTTTTATGCTAACTTCAGCTAGGACCAGGATTTCAACACCCAACTTTGAGAACTCTTGCTTGCTATTTGGAGAAGTTCCATGGAATTGGCCTAAGTAATTCAGGCTCCATCAGTTCTTCTCCGATTACGCCTGTCGCTTTCTCCGGGAACAGTGAAACTATCCACACAGAGGAAGCTTGCGACTCTAGGAGTTACTGAGACCAGATTTGGACAAAATATCTCATTCCTAAGGGGACAAAAAGTGACCTCAGTCTTAGAGGTCCAAAACCAAAAATAAATTTAGCCTTTTTACAGCTCTTCATATGCACAGAAACCTCATAGTTCTACCCCACTCAGTTAAAAATTCTGCTCGTTATTTTTATTCATAGGCAGAAATGGGAGAGAGAAGTGATGGGAAAACATATTTTTGCAATTGTTTGTTGCTTTTTAATTGCTTGGGAAGCACTTGATACCATTACAGCGAGGATCTTGAAGCACTGTGATAGATAATATCTGAGCACCTCCCAAAGATTTGGAAATTGAAATCAAAATATTATCTCTTTTCTTTTCCAACCTGAAGAAAACAAGTTTGATTAGTTTATAACTCATTTGTTTTTGTTTGTGTGCCTGGGTGTGCTTGAGAATGAAAGGAGAAAGGAGTACACATCTGAAGAGAAACTAATGCAAAGATAGGAGTCCTATATTTAGCAAAGTGGCAAAGCTAAACAACATTTTTTTCTCTTGTGAAAAGTTCTTCCAGAGTCTGGATCCAGCTCCTGTGAAAACGCTGTATCTTGCATTCACAAGCTCCCAAAAGTGTCGGTGTTTCACTGGTATCCAGCTATCCTGGAAGGCTGTTTCTCCCCGTGCATATTGTACAGCACTGAAAACCTTGCCTCAGCATGACCTCTGTAATTTATTATGTATATCACTTTCTTGCACTAGTGTCATTTCTACTCCGTGTGGTGCCTGCCACACTGTAATGCCTGCAATCCGTCTGGGTGCTGTGGTGTTCACAGTGCTGCTGGCATCCATGCCCTTCCTCCACGCTTCATACTATTGCAAACAATTAGGAAAGCTGTGGGCTGGGGGGCACTATTAATCAGATGTAGCTTCAGATTTAAAGCAGGTGTATTGGCTGAATTTCAGGTCTGTTTGTTAGTAATCAGCCCTTCTGGGGCACAAAACTGGTGAGGCACAAAGCTGAGCACAGGCTAATAAACCGTAGCAGGCTCGTTACCAAGGATTTGAGGGCATATCTGGAAATAGCAACAAAAACCCAGCAATCATAATCTGGGAAGTGAAGGGGGCTGATGAAGAAAAGTTGCAGAGAGGCAAAAAACTTGAAATAGGGCTGGGCCGATGGAAGAGAGATGGAAGTGCTGAAGGGAATGGTAAGAGGGACAGCGATGGAGCAAGGAGGCAATGGGGCGGGAAACCAGAGGCAGTGAAGCCACCTGAGTAAGGTTGGGAAACACTCTCTCAGTGTTGTAAAAATGATTTAGAAACATGCTACAATCCAGATGTTTCCCATGACCCATTTCAAGGATCATTGTAGTTTCCTTTGCTATTAAGGGTTATAGTATTTTCCCCAACTTTTAAGGAAAGGTGAATTTGTTGTCAGCCCCGGGAATTTAGCATCTGTTTGAGTTAGAGACATAAGATACAGAAAAGAATAGACTGTAGGAAACAGAAAACACCTGCTCTTTGGCTTCCTGAAGGTAGCTGGCTATGACATATGCCCGTGTCCATGGCCTCTTAGGACTATATGGTTCATTTCTTGTGCACTTCTGGCAACGTAGAACTCCAGAGCAGCTGCACAGCTAGAACCAGGTCACTCACTGACTGTATACATCAATCTAAGGTTATTGATGCACTTCTGAGTAGCCTAATTTTGCCCAGCCTAGTAGAACTCTGCCCATTTAACTGCAGTATAATAATTTCAAAACCATTTTCAAAGAGTTTGGCAAAGATTTACCCAATGTTGCTTTTCTATGAAAGACATTTAAAGCTATACTCCAGCTTGACTATAATAAGAATTCAATATAATTTGCATCACCATAGCAACTTCATCAAATAATTTTATGGACAATAATTAATTTGTTCTTGTAACACCTCTAAGAAGATAAACATAAAGAAACGGGGACATAGTAAATTACGGTCAAAGTAACACTTGTTAGTGGCACAGTGAAATAAAGTAGCCCAGGCGTGTGGTTCTCATTACTCGCTCGTGCTGCCGTCACAATCAGGCAGCCAGCAGAGGTACGCAAAGTGGCCAGATTGCATTCGGGGGGAGGAGGAGGCATGACCATTGAGGACTGCTGGGATATCGCAAAATAGCCACAACACACAACAGTGTTGGGCTACTTTTTTAATTGATACCCCTTTCCACTACTCCAGATGTGCTTGTTTGCACCTCCAACATTCCTCTTGCCCACATGTAATACGATGATCCGCCAGATTTTACTTTTGCTTCTCTTGTATCCAATTTGTATGAAGTTGTGTTTTTGAGCCTTCAAGCTTTAAGTACTCAGCTCCTCCCTTTCCTAATGATCATTATTCCGTGCTCAGTTCGTTTCTGCTTCAAGTACATTACCCTCTTCCATCTAAATACCCACCTTGAGCCTATCCAGAATGTTCCTGCTAAAATCACCTATTGCTCTGCATTCCTCTCACAGCACCTGCTTTTCTTCTAGCTCCTCTCTGTCCTCACACCTAGTCCAAACCTCTTGTCCTTGCAGACAAAGCCAACTTCCTCAAGTCCGTGTTGAATCAGACATCTCTTTTTTAATTCTCTTCCCTCTTTCTGGAAATGGTGCCAGCTTTGATGTTTCTTTTGTTCCTCTCACATTTCCTCTTTTGTGCCTCTCTATGCGAGACCAGTATTCACCATCCTTCCTCATACGTAGTATTCTGAGCTCTGCAGCTTGTGTCACCTTCTCATGCAGCTCCAGTTAACTGGCAGTTGATGTCCTTTGCTGTTCTGCTCCCCAAAAGGAAGCTGACTTTGTCAAGGAAGGAAGCAGCTGCCCGAGAGCTAATGTAATTTTGCCATGAGAAAAGCAGGTAGGAAGGGAGAAAAGTGAGTCAGTACCATTTTACAGGAGGGGAGCAATC